CGTCTTCTGCGATGCTTTTCTTCCATAGACTTCCGACTTCCAGCTGATAACTTCATATCGCTGTACGGAATATGCACAGATTCTGACGATAACACGATTGTGGTGTGTAACTCTGGGGTGTACATTCTCACAAAAAACGGAAGGCTTTGGGAAGTATTAACATCCAAAGATGGACTGACCTCACCGAAATGTGTGGCGTATTCTTCCTCGGGTTGTGGTCGGCTTATTGTCAGCCAAGCTGGGTTTGATATTAGACATGAGATGTGTTTATTTAGGTATAACAAAGACGATTACAAGTCTTTAAATACATTAGTTTACTACGCAATATCGATATAGATATTTTTTTCTTTGATCTGATGGTATTAGAATCGCCCGGTGTCGCAGATATTTGCATTAAAGTTGAGTTTATTACACGAAGTATTATTCGAATTGATAAGGCTACTCAACAAAACAAAAAAGTCTTTTAAACGGTCTAAGGCATATTGGGCGCATAGGGCTAGAACTATATTTTATATACCAATCAGTTCTCGGTGGGTGATATGATAAAGATCACATTAGCTGCCTTTACTTCCCAGGACTTTATCTGGTAACTGTTTAAGGCTGCGCCTACCTGGGATAGCCAAGATCATTTATGTAGGTAGTCCTGCTTTACCAGGGCCTGAACCCATGAACTTCGGGTCGACAGGCGGGTGTCTAACCGCTACACCATGGCGGCTCCCACTTAGTATAGTTATGTCGACTAATAATGGATTTTCTGCAATCGGATTTGTAGGGCTGAAGGTAGCAGATATCACAACCTAGCTGAAAACCACAACACAAAAGACCAAATTCACTATTCAGAGCAAACGCAGAAAAAAAAATTCAAATTTATTGATAGTGCTTTCTGTGCAGCTGGCCGAACGATTAGAACGCTGGGCTCTCAAACGGGAGACCCAGGTTCGAGTCCTCGGTAAGGCTGGGGAAATAAAACTTTCATCTGCACAGTTGTGGCGACAGCACTAGCCATACGGCCGTAAATCTTTAGGCTCAAAGAACATCCTGCCTACACCGCAAAAGTGGTAAAATAAAGGCAGTAGTTGGCAGTTTGTGTGTGTGTGTGTCTGTGTGTGTGTGCAGTTTAGTACTTTTTGTTTTTCTTTTATTCTTCATAATCTGACCCCTCCCCACCCCCCCCCCCCCCCTTTTTTTTAAACTGTTTTTCTCATCCTCCTCGTACTTTTAAATTTCATCATCAGGTAACATGTTTTTTGCAGAAAGTCTCTGGCATCATACTCTGCCTAAAAAAAGCTCGGTCCTAACCCAGCACTTCCGTCTCATACGCTCTCCCACACAAGGTGTCATTGATGTCCTGTGCCCATTTTCTTACTAGTCGTCAGCTGCCCCTTTGCCCTGGTACCATGCCTTCTAATATTAGTCTTTTCCTCTTCTTTAAATTCTTTATTTTATCCTTCAGTGTAATTTACGCCCTTAATAAAGATATACAGAAGCTATAGGCTTTTTCTGTGTGAAAAGTGTTATGTCGGATGAAGTAGTCGAGTTCAACAATAACCCAGCCCGCAGAAGTCTCTTACGGCATAGTTGTTAGGATACAGTATTACTGTTATTTTTATTATTATTAATGATTAAACAGGAAACTGACGATTTATACTTTCTTCGTTTGTGTTGCTGCCTATGCCATAAAGCGTTCCATAGAGGAGTTAGAAGTAGTTTGTGCCTCGTACAGGAGAAGTACTTTTTACGCCTTTAGGCGTGTCAGTCACACAGGGATAGACCTATACAGTTTTTACCTTACAGTAAGTAAAAAGTAAAGGACCCTTTTCCACGCCTTTGGGCGTATAGGGCATATAGGGCTAGACCTTTATTTTATAGACCAACGGCACAAGATGGGTGATATGGTCAGCATCACTCCGGCTGCCTCTACTTCCCGGCACTGCACCCGGTACCCACTCAAGGCTGGGTCGACCTGGGAGCCAATGTCATAATTTATTTTTATCACAGATACAGGGAGCCGCAGTGGCGTATGTCTAGGCGCTTGCCTACCGATTTGAAGGTCTTGGATTTGAATTGGCAACTTTGGATTCTACCCTTATCTTTTGTTTTTTAAAGTACAAAATGACTTGGCCTAAAATGTATACCAGATAAAATCGCAGGAAGAAAAAGCAGCCAAGTTAATACTGATCATATCCCTCATCGAGCTAAGATGGGAAAAGTTTAGATGTAGCATCCTATGCTCGATGAGTATTTAGAATGAAACGGGTCCTGTAATGATAATTTTTAAAAATGGTTTGGCCAGGTAACAAGTTTGGCAGCAGACAGGGCACCACAGAGAGCAATGTTATACAGATATAACAGTAACAGAGGTCGACCAAGCAGAACATGATCCGCAAAGATATTAGAGGCACTGAAAAAGTACTTTAAACAAAACAAATAGAAGCGCCCGTACCAGAAAACTCTTCCTGCCAAAAGTCCGCGAGGCACTCAACGAGTAGAGAAGGTGAGGAAGAAGAAAAAGGATGAGAAAGATGGATGTAACTTCCTATTTTTCGTTCTTTATAATACATGTTTTAGGATGGAAGATGTGGCAGGCTTCTAGGAAGGCTATGGTGCGACGAATGTCCTATACCGCTTGATTTCTAAAGGAATGCCAATTTGCGTGACCTGTGACCTCTCTTACTGAATGTAGAGAGCATGTGTGAAGCATGTGTTGAATATACCGTCTTGCTTGTCCCCGTGGACACATTTCGGAGCCTCTGGTCTCAAATTTCTTGTGCACATGGCTGCAGATTCTGTTGTGTCCAGTTCGAAATTTCAGTTTAGATTTAGGTTAAAACAACCGATCAACATCATGGCACAAGGGTAGTAACCCATAAGTGCTCTGTTCTACGTACAACTGAAGTCTAAGTCCGAAGAATCTCAGCGTAGTGCACAAGCTCCGTAGTACCGGCGAGGATCATAACATACTTTAGGTAGATTTTTAACTCCAAATTTTGTGCGGGCAGCGCAGTTAGGCTACTATTTTCGATTTCCAACTACCGATGGATTTTTTTACTTGTGAAACAATACATACTGGCGTCCGATCTTACTACCCAAAGACCAGGGGAAATTATTAGACGTCTATGTGAACAAAATCACAGCCTTCACCGGGGCCTGAACCTGGGACCTCCAGCTATGCATCGAGACCACGTAGCCCCCTCAGTACAACGTATTTTGAGGGGGTGGATTTGGGATCCATCCTTCAAGCCGCCAGAGAAGACAAATACAGAAAAGCACAACACTATGCTAAGACCTGGTATCAGTGACAACAACAGAAGAAGAATATTCGGGATTACGTTGAGGTGTCAACGAAATAAGCATCATTGTAGCTACTTGTTATTGTTGTCCCTACTACTTATGTCATCAAGCTTTGCAGAGCAGAGTTAGATGTTTTTTCTCTCTTTCGCTAGTTGCGTTTCTTTTGTAAATTCCATAGTGCGTTTCTGTAGTGTTTTTTAACTCCTTCCACCCATGTTGTTATTGGTCGGCCTCTTGCCTTGTAGCCTGCTATTCGCATGCAAAACTCTCTAGCTGCTGGCTAATTTAATTCCCATTCTGACCAGACCACCAAACTATTTGATTCACTGATGCTCTATAAAATCATTTACCTTTGGCTTTCCTCCTTTTCTTATCTTGAGCATACTCGTTTCAATAATTGAGTCTTCTTACAATTGTACAGGGTGTTTGTAAAGGCTCACTACACTTTGTATGTAGAACAAAAGTGAGAAAACCAAGTATACAACATCAGCAAAAAAATATGCTCCACAGTAAACTGCTCAGCAAAATACAGTGAATGGCTGTTGCCTGCTTGAGTAAAACTGCACGCAAGATTGAATGGTGTTATCAACGAAAGCAGTCAGAATAATGAGAAATGACAACAGACATGTTGCAGTAGGTATTTGCCAGTATGAAGATATGTGTGCAGTTTGTCTTGAAGCCCTCGGTGGACACTTCACACACCTGTTATAATGAGTAGTCCACTGGTAGACCATAGTAACGACTATTGTAACTAATTTATTGACAGTTTAGTAAATATTTTGATTTTGTCATGTACTTAGATTTTTTAGATTTGTTTGTGTTTGTAAAGTGTAGTAAGATTTTACAAACAAATTATATTCTTTTTTTTCCCCTTAAAATCCGTGCCGTGTGGCGTCTAGGTAGTCATGTTTATTCACAACCTTCTGTCTCGTGTATATTCAGTCAACTTTGACACAGATGATCCTCCATGTCATGATCTCAAAATGTTTAGCGCCTTTTCTCTCCATCTCCGTATGCCTCTCCTCCCCTCCAACTTGCCTACTGTCACGATGTACTTCTCATCACACGACCAAAGAATGTAGGTTGTCTCTTTCTGATGTGGGCAATCAGTTTTCTTTGAGTATTTTCTTTTTTCAAGACATCTTCGTTACTCTTTTTATGTGTCCAGGGTATTCTCATCGTTCGTATATAAAACAGCATCTCCACGGCTTCCAAATAAGTTTTCACTAATTTACCTACTGTCCATGATTCGCTTCCGTATCTTTAGATAGGATTTTTATAGCTTTTAAGAATTCCCTTTCTCATCTCAGTTGACAAAGAAAGATTGCATAAAATATTCTTCATTTTGCAAAATGCAGCCTTTGTTTGAGCTATTCTACATTTAACTTCTTTAATACATCTTCCATGTAACACGGTCACCGAAGTACTTAAAACATTTCAATCTGCTTAAGGTTTGTCAAATTTACTTTGACGGTGCATTTTGGAGAGTCAGTTTTCTTTGTAATTATCATTACTTCTGTTTCGTTACATTTATATCCATCATTTCTTTCAGTTGTATTTCATTTAAAGCGAACAAAACAATATCGTCAGCTTATCGCAGGTTGTAAACAAATGCCTACCAACCGATATTTCTGACATACCATGGACGGGTCTACATTACTAGTTAGATACAAAGAAGTCGAAACACGATTTTAGCTCGTTGGTTGTTAAATAAGTTACATCCTTCTTTTTTAAGTGCAAGGGGGTTCATAGTGAAGGCGAAAGGACGTCGCTTGGTGCAACAAAGCTTGGCATATGATATTACAATGCCTAGTTTGAGAATGGAGGTGGAGGCAGCCACTGCTGCCTTTCGCTGGTTTGAGAATCAGCTGTACACACATGCTGTGATTGTAACTGACTCACAGAGCCTGTTGAAAAAGGTAGAGACAGGCGATCCCCGTGCAGAGTGGCAAGTATCACTTCAGAGGTACCGACTAGTTAGCATCCTTTTGATATTCTCTCCAGGCATGCCGGTGTTTTGGGAAATAAGCAAGCAGATAGACTGG